GTATATCACTGTAAAACCCAATAAGGGGTTTAGGGTTGGGGACGGGATTAATAAATAAACATTTATGGATAATTTAATAAAGAACATAAATAATTAAACCATTTTCTCCATTCACAATGCATTAATGCACCCAGCCCTGTGTGTTATGTCAACAGACCTATGCATAAATAAATACAAATACTTAAATGCAAAAAATAAAATAAATGTGTTATATCATCCAAGCAGTTCCACTAGATCCCACTAAAACACTGAAGTTCAGCTACTGTGAAGTATCTCTGCAGTCAGTACAGCGCTGACAGACCACCTCCTAGTGCAAAACTCTCAAACACATCCGCGTCCAAGCTGTGAAACAACCGAACGAGATGACGACATCATGCCGGGTTCTGTTCTACGTGCTCATCCAGTGGAACGTTCCGCTAATGTTTTCCATCTGCCTGCACTGACGATGAAAAGGTAACAAAGTGGTCCATTGTTCAACAGCTTTGGGCAACAAGTGAGCGGCTCCCGGTCCCTCTCCCAGCTCCGGTCTTTGAGAAACATCAGCCACCTTCGTCCACAGAGCCTGTGCCATTAACTTTAGTGCCAGTTTTTGTGTGTGCGGATGGCGCCAGAACACAGAGAGCGGCTTCCAAAAAACCAGCCCATGATTTTAAGTTGCATAGCAGCTGGGTGCTCCATGGTTTTCCAATCAGCTCTCGGGGATCCAGGCTGCAGCAATTACGTAGATAGATTGAGAAAATCATTCTTGTGTAGCTTTGACATCCAATCCCACCCTTACAGCCGTTTCCGTTGTCTATTCCAACACTGCATTCCTACATTTAAAATAATACTACAGCAGTTTATAGTAAATACTGGAGAGTTTTTGAACCACACTGCAGTAGAGTACTTGAATTAATCTGTTGTGGTGATGAATTAAGCTGCTATGGTAACACAACAATAGTAATTATGCTGTTGTGGTAATTCTATTGTTGCTATGGTAACAACAACAGTAATTAATCTGTTGTGCTGATTCTATAGTTCCTATGGCAACACACCAACAACAGTAATTATTCTGCTGTGGTAATTTAATAGTTGCTATGGTAACACAACAATAATAGTTAGTTTGTTGAGGTAATTCTATAGTTGCTATGGCAACACAACAACAATAGTAATTAGTATGTAGTGGTGATTATATAATTTCTATGGTAACACAACAACAGTAGTAACTAGTCTATTGTGGTGATTCTGTAGTTGCTATGGTAACACAACAACAGTAATTAATATGTTGTGGTGATTCTGTAGTTGCTATGGTAACACACCAACAATAGTAATGAATCTGTTGTGGTGGTTCTAGAGTTATCTGTTGTGGTAACTCGATAGTATAGAAACAACAACAGTAATTAATGTCACGGTGATTATATAGTTGCTATCACAACACAATAACAACAGTAGTTAGTATGCTGTGGTGATTCTATACACACTATGGTAACACAACACCAATAGCATTAAATCTGTTGTGATTATTATGTGGTTGCTATGGTAACAAAACAACTATGATAATTATTCTGTTGTGGTGATTCTGTAGTTGTCATGGTTACACAACAACAATAGTAATTAATCTGTTGTGGTGATTCTGTAGTTGTCATGGTAACACAAAACAAAGGTAATTAATTTGTTGCGGTGATTCTATAGTTGCTACGGCAACACAACAACAACAGCAATTAATTTGTTGCAGTGATCCTAAAGTCGCTATGGTAACACAACAACAACAGCAATTAATCTGCTGTGGTGATCCTAAAGTCGCTATGGTAACGCAACAACAACAGCAATTAATCTGTTGCGATGATTATATAGTTGCTATGGTAACACAACAACAATAGTAATTTATCTGTTGCGGTGATTCTAGTTGCTACGGCAACACAACAACAACAGCCATTAATCTGCTGTGGTGATCCTAAAGTCGCTATGGTAACACAACAACAACAGCAATTAATCTGTTGCGATGATTATATAGTTGCTATGGTAACACAACAACAATAGTAATTAATCTGTTGCTGTGATTCTATAGTTCCTATGGCAAAACAACTACAGCAACAGCATTTAATTTGTTGTAGTGATTCTATAGTTGCTATGGTAACACAACAACAACAACAGCAATTAATCTGTTAAGTTGATTAGTTGCTATGGTAACGCAACAACAATAGTAATTAATCTGTTGTGGTGATCCTAAAGTCGCTATGGTAACACAACAACAACAGCAATTAATCTGTTGCGATGATTATATAGCTGCTATGATAACACATAAACAATAGTAATTAATCTGTTGCTGTGATTCTATAGTTGCTATGGTAACACAACAACAACAGCAGCAATTAATCTGTTACAGTGATTATATAGTTGCTATGGTAACACAACAACAATAGTAATTAATCTGTTGTGGTGATCTTATAGTTGCTATGGCAACACAATAAATATAAACAAATGAGTCAATACTGCAGTTGTCTACAACTAGGATATATTCCCATTCAATACACCTCAGCTTACTGTAGTAAATACTAAAATATACAAAGGTATTTATTACAGTTTACAGCAGTACTGAAGTATCCTGTAGCATTCATTAACAGAGAGTGAGAAATAGTGTAATATATACAGTGTAATACACTTTCCTATAGTATGGTTCAAAAACACGAGCATTTACTCTAAACTACTATAGTCATTCTTCATGTGGGTTTCTGCACTTCCAGCAGTCTCTTAGGGGCTGTTCACACTGATGGCATTTCTGCATTGCACTAAGCTGCTTTTTTATTGTTTTTCTATGTAAACATATGCTAAATGGACATGTTTGACTAATGCACTCCACACTAATGTGTCTTTTGTGCATGACTCTGCATTCCTAAAGTGCCACGCTTAAAGGGACAGTTCACCCCAAAATGAACATTACCTCATCATTTACTCTTCCTCATGTGGTTTTAATCCTTCATGAGTTTCTTTCCTCTGTTGAACACAAAAGAAGATATTTTAAAGAAAGATCAGTGCCTGCACCCATCTACTTCATAGTTAGTAAAAAATACTATGGAAGTCAATGCCAGGATTTTAATTTCAAGTGGACTGTCCCTTTAGGTTAAAAATCACAGCCATTTTTCATTTTCTTGTGTGTTCGACAGAAGCTAAGTGGATTTGGAACAATATGAGGGTCAGTAAATAAAGTGAGCATAGTTAAACAGTTTTGGCAAACTCCCACTGTAACAGAGCTGCTACTCAATATAACACACTCCAAGCTTTAAGTAAGCTCTATAAAGTTTTATATTCACCTCTGGCAAAGTGTAATGTATGAAGTCTGCGATCGTAGCGCCACCAAAAACATTATACACCCTTCCTAACATTTGGAGATGGTGCCAGCCTGCTCTACAAACCCTTTTATACAGTTTATGCTCTGAAATGAGTCAGTGGCTCCTGGAGACCCCCAACACTGCACACTGAGCATTAATCTCCACCAAACATGCCTGATTCAACTCATCAGCTCTTCAGTAGAGAATACCTGACCTGAAAGACGTGTGTCAGACATATGAATATATTTTAGGTCACGATGAAGTTAAGACTGTACTATTCCACTATAATCATGTGCATCCAACTGAAATGTAGGGCGGTGCAGGATTCCATCCTTAGGAAACCGAGTGGATTGTTGGAACATGAATGTTGCTTATAAAATGTAAGAAGCAGAAACAAGACCTGTTGACAGCCTGTGCCAAAGACTGATAACCCTGCCCTAAAGAAATGATAGCCCCGCCCTAAAAGACTGATAGCCCCAGCCTAAAAACACTGATAGCCCCGCCCTAAAGGACCAATAGCTCCATCTTAAATAACTCATTGCCCTGCCCTAAATTACTTATACCTCCACCCAAAAAGGCTGATGGCTCCACCGTAAAGAAATGAAAACTCCACCCTAAAGAAATGAGAGCTCCACCCTAAAGAAATGATTGCTCTGCCCTAAATAAATGATAGCTCCACCCTAAAGAAATAATAGCTCCACCCTAAATAAATGATAGCTCCACCCTATAGAAAATGATAGCTCCACCCTAAATAAATGATAGCTCCGCCCTAAATAAATGATAGCTCCACCCTAAAGAAATGATAGCTCCATCCTAAAAGACTGATAGCTCCACCCTAAAGAAATGACAGCTCCACCCTAAAAGACTGATAGCTCCACCCTAAAGAAATGACAGCTCCACCCTAAGACTAATAGCTCCACCCTAAAGAAATAACAGCTCCACCCTAAAAGACTGATAGCTCCACCCTAAAGAAAAGACAGCTCCACCCTAAAAGACTGATAGCTCCACCCTAAAGAAATGACAGCTCCACCCTAAAAGACTGATAGCTCCACCCTAAAGAAATGACAGCTCCACCCTAAGACTAATAGCTCCACCCTAAAGAAATGACAGCTCCACCCTAAATGACTGATAGCTCCACCCTAAAGAAATAACAGCTCCACCCTAAATGACTAATAGCTCCACCCTAAAGAAATGACAGCTCCACCCTAAAAGACTGATAGCTCCACCCTAAATAACTGATAGCTCCACCCTAAAGAAATGATAGCTCCACCCTAAAAGACTGATAGCTCCACTCTAAATAAATGATAGCTCTGCCTGAAGGACATATAGCTCCGCCCTAAATCAAAATGATTGATAGCTCTGCTTTAAATTACTGATAGCCCCACCTCATATGCCTGATAACCACCCCTAAAAGACTGATAGCTCCTCCCTAAAATACAGAGAGCCCCGCTTTAAAGGCTAATAACTCCGTCCTAAAATACCACTCTGTACTGGAGCATCATATCTATAGTAAGCTCTTCCAAACAAAAGGAAGACCTCATCACCTCTCGCGTTCGATGAATGAAGATTTTAAAGCAAGCATCTATTCCTAACTCCTGCCTTTCCTGTTTTTTTGACTACATTAAATCAGTTCTGGCCAATACAAACTAAATAGTTTACAAACTAATTAGTAAAATCAACGAATCGCTTAAAGAAATGCGTTTATGCACTTAAAAAAATAATAATTCTACTAAACGCTTTGAATACAATGGGTATATTTTAATATAAAATAAATTAATTGCTTTAAACCTGAGGTCTATACACGTGTTTAAAATAATTACGTCAACTAATCGCTTTAAAAGCAACAAGTTTATTCTCTTTTTAAAATAAAGTCAACTACTCTCTTCAAAAGCAATGGGTTTACTCACTTTTTTCGTACTCCAGCACCATATTTACAGTAAGTGACCCTGAGATCTTCTAAACAAAAGGCAGATCTCACCCAGCAGAGATGCTACAGCTCTTGTTTGCAATGCCAAAGTCTGTCAGGCGGTGCAGCATCAGGCGTGTTCAGACAGGCACGCTGGAGCCCAGGAGATATTAACAGTCCCGCACCTCCAGCCTCCGTTTCTAGGATATTGTGCAATTGGCTGGAATGCATGGAGCTCCGCTAGGGGAATATACACCCTCCGCTTCAGAGCATGTTTCAGATGCAAGTTTTATTTCTGCTGGATCTTCTTGACTGATGCAATCAAAGAAAAAGGCCAAGAGTTTTAAAGTCTGAATGCTCACAAATGCTGTCTTGAAGATGCATCATGCTGAAACAGGTGCATAAGGTAAAGAATTTATATTTCTTTTCCAACATCTTGTCCTGTTTTTCTAATCGCTATGCCAGCAAAAATTGCTAAAAGAACTGTTTGATGAATTGAAGTTTGTACAGCAAGCATCACTCATGATATTCCTTTCAAAGTCCATGTTTTTTTTATTTGTTATGAGTAAAGTCAACTAACTGCTTTAAAATCAAAGGGTTTATGCAAATGTTTTTTATTCTTATTGTTTTGAAAATCAACTAATCGCTTTAAAAGCAACGAGTTTACTCACTTATTTTAAGAAAAGTCAACTAAAGTCAACTAATCGCTTTAAAAGCAACGATTTCACTCACTTATCTTAAGTAAAGTCAACTAAAGTCAACTAATCGCTTTAAAAGCAACGGGTTTACTCACTTATTTTAAGTAAAGTCAACTAAAGTCAAATAATCGCTTTAAAAGCAACGGGTTTACTCACTTATTTTAAGTAAAGTCAACTAAAGTTAACTAATCGATTTGAAAGCAACGATTTCACTCACTTATCTTAAGTTAAGTCAACTAAAGTCAAATAATCGCTTTAAAAGCAACGGGTTTACTCACTTATTTTTAAGTCAACCAATAATTTTAAAAGCCAAAGGCTTACTCCCTTATTTTAAGGAAAGAAAACTAAAGTCAACTAATCGCTTTAAAAGCAACAGGTTTACTCACTTATTTTAAGTAAAGTCAACTAAAGTCAACTAATCACTTTAAAAGCAACGAGTTTACTCACTTATTTTAAGTCAACTAAAGTCAACTAATCGATTTAAAAGCAACGATTTCACTCACTTATTTTAAGCAAAGTCAACTAAAGTCAACTAAGCGCTTTAAAAGCAACGATTTCACGCACGTATTTTAAGTAAAGTCAACTAAAGTCAAATAATCGCTTTAAAAGCAACGAGTTTACTCACTTATTTTAAGTCAACTAAAGTCAACTAATCGCTTTAAAAGCAACGATTTCACTCACTTATCTTAAGTAAAGTCAACTAAAGTCAACTAATCAATTTAAAAGCAACGATTTCACTCACTTATCTTAAGTAAAGTCAACTAAAGTCAACTAATCGCTTTAAAAGCAACGATTTCACTCACTTATCTTAAGTAAAGTCAACTAAAGTCAACTAATCGCTTTAAAAGCAACAGGTTTACTGACTTATTTTAAGTCAACTAAAGTCAACTAATCACTTTAAAAGCAACGATTTCACTCACTTATCTTAAGTAAAGTCAACTAAAGTCAACTAATCGCTTTAAAAGCAACGATTTCACTCACTTATCTTAAGTAAAGTCAACTAAAGTCAACTAATCGCTTTAAAAGCAACAGGTTTACTGACTTATTTTAAGTCAACTAAAGTCAACTAATCGCTTTAAAAGCAACGATTTCACTCACTTATCTTAAGTAAAGTCAACTAAAGTCAACTAATCGCTTTAAAAGCAACGGGTTTACTCACTTATTTTAAGCAAAGTCAACTAAAGTCAACTAATCGCTTTAAAAGCAACGAGTTTACTCACTTATTTTAAGTAAAGTCAACTAAAGTCAACTAATCGCTTTAAAAGCAACGATTTCACTCACTTATCTTAAGTAAAGTCAACTAAAGTCAACTAATCGCTTTAAAAGCAACAGGTTTACTGACTTATTTTAAGTCAACTAAAGTCAACTAATTGCTTTAAAAGCAACGATTTCACTCACTTATCATTAGTAAAGTCAACTAATCGCTTTAAAAGCAACGATTTCACTCACTTATCTTAAGTAAAGTCAACTAAAGTCAACTAATCGCTTTAAAAGCAACGATTTCACTCACTTATTTTAAGTAAAGTCAACTAAAGTCAACTAATCGCTTTAAAAGCAACGGGTTTACTCACTTATTTTAAGTAAAGTCAACTAAAGTCAACTAATCGCTTTAAAAGCAACGGGTTTACTCACTTATTTTAAGTAAAGTCAACTAAAGTCTACTAATCGCTTTAAAAGCAACGGGTTTACTCACTTATTTTAAGTAAAGTCAACTAAAGTCAACTAATCGCTTTAAAAGCAATGAGTTTACTCACTTATTTTAAGTAAAGTCAACTAAAGTCAACTAATCGCTTTAAAAGCAACGGGTTTACTCACTTATTTTAAGAAAAGTCAACTAACATCAGCTAATCGCTTTAAAAGCAACGGCTTTACTCACTTATTTTAAGAAAAGTCAACTAAGATCAGCTAATCGCTTTAAAAGCAACGGGTTTACTCACTTATCTTAAGTAAAGTCAACTAAAGTCAGATTATCATTTTTAAAGCAACGGGGTTAACAAAAACTATTTCCAGTATATATTAACTAATTGCTTCAAAAACAGTCAACTCGGGGTGCTGAAAAATAATGGCGAAAGTAGCATTGGGCGGGTTAAATGACCAAAACAAAGACAGCCGGCACGTAACGCACATTTCCAAAGCAGAACATCTGACTTCAGCATTGTTTCTCAGATAAACAAGAGAGTTCACTGAGCATGTTTCTGAAATATCTGCAAACATATTATGGTATTTTCATGCTTTAAAATTGTCAAAAACTTACATACAGCACCTTTATGTAAAATAATTACTTCAGAAATTATGTCTTTACTCACTAAGTAAAGTCAACTAGTTACTTTAAAAGCAATAGTCAATTAATCGCTTTAAAAACTAAGAGTTTACTCATTTATTTTAGAGTAAAGTCAACTAATTCCTTTAAAAAGCAATAAGTTAACTAAATTTTTAAAACTCACATATTAAAAGCAACGAGTTAGCAGTTTTAAATGTAAAGTCGACTGACGTCTAAATTAAAAACAATGACTTGTCTTGTTACTCATTTAAAGTAATAGAATGTTTTTGGCATAGTGTACAGGCCTGTGAACCTGCGCCTTCAGGAAACACGTGTTGTAGTTGTTGTTATTATGAATGTAACGGCAGAGGCAGTAAGTTACGGGCGATTGAGGGAGGCTTGTGTTAGCATAGGCTGGATCCATGCCGCCAATCTCACAGCTTGTAATGTATAGATCAATGTGGCCGTAGGGGAAAGAGGATCAATGGCTGTTGAGTTATTGCAGTATTTGGCTACTGATTTTAGAGAGCTGTGTTTTCCCAGGAAAGTCAATACCCTGAGGCTCTTCACACTCATCTCGCCCTCCTTCCTCTAACCCGACACCCGGGAGCCCGAAGCCCTGGAGAGCCCAGACAAGAGCTGCTGGACTGAAGGACTTAATGATGCATGCAGGCGGAGAGCAGAACTAACAGAATAAGAGTGCGGATCTCTCTCTCTCTCTCTCTCTCTCTCTCCGGGGGGAGTGCACGGGCCAGAGCACTACATGTGAGAAGCAACAGAGCTGTAATAGTTATCAGGTAGCAGCTGCAACACTGCGAGTGAGAATGGACTTAACATTCTGCTAATGCAACAAGACGTCCTAACTAGCCCATGCCACACGTCAAGAGCTTTCCGGGGGATTTGGACGGAGCCGTCTTTCCCTGTAGTGTTCAGAATGATAAAACCAGCTGGTGCTGCTTTCACCTGGTACTGTGATGGGTGTTTCAGGACTGGGAGTCGATTAAAATAAATAACTGTTTCCTTGATTTGAGAGAGTCAATTTTAAAAACAGGCCTCACGGTGCCACAGTGGGTAGCACGGCTGTGTTACAGCAAGATGGTCATTAGTTCTAGTCCCGGCTGGGTCAGTTGGTGTTTCTGTGTGGAGTTTGCATGTTCTCCCCGTGTTGGTGTGGGCTTCCTATGGGTGCTCCGGTTTCCCCAACAGTCCAAACACATCCGCTATAGGGTATTGATGAGCTAAATTGGACAGATTGGTAGTGTATGAGTGTGTGTGAATGAGTGTGTATAGGTGATTCCCAGTATTGGGTTGCAGCTGGAAGGGTATTCGCTGTGTAAAAGATATTCAGAAATAGTTGGTGGTTCATTCCACTGTGGTGATGAATAAAGGGACAAAGCTGAAAATAAAATGAACGAATGAATTTTAAAGACCCAAAAAAGAGTCACAACATCAGTGGAGAACTAGATGAGGAGCTGTTCACGTGATGCTGAGATGCGTATTTTAGGAGTGGGAGTCCACTCCAAACATAATCCATTTCTTATTTCAAGTGAGTCAATTAAAAGAATCGAAAGGATTCACATTAGTGGAGAACTAGACTGAGGAGCTGTTCACACCTGGTGCTGAGATGCTTAAGGACTGGGACTTGACTCCAGAAAGAATCAATTCCTCGATTTGAAAGAGTCAATTCCAAGAAACAAAAAACGAGTCACAATGTGAGTGGAGATCTAGACTGAGGAGCTGTTCACAAATGGTGCTGTGATGCAGTTTTTCAGTGCTGGGAGTCGATTAAAAATGAATCGTTTCCTTGAATCAAAAGAGTCAATTGCAAGAATCAAAAAACACTCACAATAGCAGTGGAGATCTAGGCTGTTTCTCAATACCTAGAACACAGAGACCGGCTCACGCTTTTGTGAAGACCGGTCTTTCCCCGTTCACCTCGGAAGAACGAAATTGATAGACCACGAGAACAGAGAACACGTCCTGTGAGAAATGAGATGCTGCGTTCTTCCTGATGGTCAAATGATCGTCACGCATTTTTAATTATTGGAACATTACAACGTTCATAAAACGACTTATTGTTAGCCTCCTTTTAAATATATATGTAACATGCACAAAACCTTACCAATATATACATTGCACAATACAAATAAAACAGATTTTAATAGGAATTTCAGCAAATGAACACCTTAATGTGTTCAATCCTTTATTGAGATGTTCATATTAATGTTTATATTCAGGGAAACTCCTGAGATAAATAAGGTACATCTCTGAACTTTAACATTAAATCTATATGGAATGCTGCGCTTCCCTCCTCCTTTCTTCAGTCGTAATGACTTCTGGGACTTCTAGAGTGAGTTCAGTGCTCTAGTTGCATTGGTGCGTCCTCAATATCAAGAACACATCTGGGAAGTTCCATGCATCGTCTGTTTTGCGGATTGACTATTGGAACTGAACTTTGGCGACTAATGATAATATTACATGAGAACACGAGGATGCAAGACAGCTGAAGAACGCATATTGAGAAACAGCCCCCGTCTAAGGACCTGTTTACAGCTAATATTGTGATGTGTTTTTTAAAAACTCATTCCTAGATTCGAAAGAGTCAATTCTAAGAATCGAAATAAGAATCCCAATATCAGTGCAGATCTAGACTGAAGAACTGTTTACACTCTGTGCTGAGATGCAGTTTAAGGACTTGGAGTCGACTCCAAAAAGATTCAAATCCTTTATTCAAAAGAGTCAATTCCCAAAATCAAAAAAGCAGATGCATTTATTCAGAGCTGGGAGTCGATTGAAAATTAATCAATTCCTTGATTTGAAAGAGTCAATTGTAAGAATCAAAAACGACTCGCAACAATAATGAAGAAGACCACTAAGGACCTGTTTACATATAGTTTTGTGATTCATATATTAGGAGTGGGAGACGACTCCAAAAATAACCAATTTCTTAAACTTGAAAGAGTCAATTCCAAGAATGGGAAATAGTCCCAATAACAGCGGAGATCTAGACTGAAGAGCTGTAACAGTTATCAGGTAGCAGCTGCAACACTGCGAGTGAGAATGGACTTAACATTCTGCTAATGCAACAGGACGTCCTAACTAGCCCATGCCACACGTCAAGAGCTTTCCGGGGATTTGGACGGATCTGGTCTTTCCCTGTAGAATGATAATGATAAATAGTTCTGAATGATAAAACCAGCTGGTGCAATTTACAGCTGGCACTGTGATGAGCTTTTTGGGACTGGGAGTCAATTAAAAATGAAGAGTTGTTTCCTTGATTTTCCTGATTGACTCCTTGAGTTTTTGAAGGCTCACAACCTCAGTGGAGATGTATAGATGTAGGACCTGTTCACATGTTGTGGTGAGATGAGTATTTTAGGACTGGGACTCAAATCCAAAAAGAATCAGTTCCTCGATTTGAAAGAGTCAATTGCAAGAATCGAAAAAGAGTCAGAACATCAGTGGAGAACTAGACTTAAGACCTGTTCACAGCTGGTACTGTGATATGTTTTTAGGACTGCAAAAAGAATCAATTCCTCAATTCGAAAGAGTCAATTCCAAGAATCGAAAAAGACTCAACAACAGTGGAGATCTAGGACCTGTTTTCACCAAGTACTGAGATGTGTTTTTCAGACTGGAAGTCAATTAAAAAAATAATAGTTTCTTTGATTCGAAAGAGTCGATTCTAAAAGCTGAAAAAGAGACCTAGACTGAAGAATTGTTCACACCCTGTGCTGAGATTGTTTCTTTAGGACTTGGAGTCCCCTGCAAAAAGATTCAAATCCTTTATTTAAAAGAGTCGATTCCAAGAATCGAAAAGCAGTCACTATATCAAAGGAGATCTAGACTGAGGACCTGTTCACAACTTATGCTGAGATGCATGTTTTCAGAGCTGTCAAATACAAAAAGAATCGTGCTTGATTTGAAAGAGTCAATTTTAAGAATCAAAAAAGACTCACAACAACAGTGGAGATCTATAGATGTAGGACCTGTTCACATGTTGTGGTGAGATGAGTATTTTAGGAATGGGACTCAACTCCAAAAAGAATCAGTTTTTCGATTTGAAAGAGTCAATTGCAAGAATCAAAAAAGTCTCAAAACAACAGTGGAGATCTAGAAAGAGGACCTGTTCACACCTAGACTTAAGACCTGTTTACAGCTGGTACTGTGATATGTTTTTAGAACTGCACAAAGAATTAATTCCTCAATTCGAAAGAGTCAATTCCAAGAATCGAAAAAAGACTCACTAAAACAGCGGAGATCTATAGATGTAGGGTCTGTTCACATGTTGTGGTGAGATGAGTATTTTAGGACTGGGATTCAACTCCAAAAAGAATCAATTTCTCGATTTGAAAGAGTCAATTGCAAGAATCGAAAAAGACTCAAAACAACAGTGGAGATCTAGAAAGAGGACCTGTTCACACCTGGTATTTTGGTGTTAATTTTTTGACTAGAAGTAGACTCCAAAGAAATAAATTTCTTGATTCGAAAGAGTCAATTCTAATCAACAAAAAGACAACATCAGCAGAGAACTAGGCTGAGGACCTGTTCACACCTCACAGTGAGATGCATTTTATTTTAGGACTAGGAGTCGACTCTAAGAAGATTCACTTCCTTGATTTAAAAGAGTCAATTGCAAGAAACAAACAAGAGTCACCATGTGACTTGACTGAAAAATGGCGCCAAGATGAGCTGATTAAAAATTAATCGTTTCCTTGATTTTAAAGAGTCAATTTTAAGATTATGAATCCATTTTGTATTTTTTGGGGAATCCACTCCACTTGTCAGTTTACAAGAACAAATGAATCAGTAAATTCTCTCTTGCTAACAATGATCCGATGCAATTCTGCCAACAGATTCAGTCAGTTCACTTCAATGAAACTGATTCACATAGTCATACCCTGATGGATTACAGAGCTGGTTCTGGTACGTCATACTGAAATATACAAATATAGCCTTTAAATGTGTGCGTGTTGCAGATTATTAAGTTAATTGTGTTTAAGTGAACTTCACTTTTGACCGGGAGTTGACTCAAAAAAGAAAATAATACACAAAGAACATGAAAAAATGCCTTGGGAAATATTTGAAAAGAATTCAGATTACACAGGAGGCACACGGTATATTAGCTTATTTTACATTACAAGTATTTCAGTGGCATTTTGTAATTCATTAAGGGTGTTTTCACACCTGCCTTGTTTAGTTGGACTGAATCGCACTAGAGTTGGTTTCCCCTTTTGGTGCGGTTGGTTTGGGCAGGTGAGAATGCAGCAATCGTACTCGAGTGCGCACCAAAAGCAAACCAAATAAGCGTACCGAGACCTGCTTGAAGAGGTGCTCTCGGTTCGCTTTCAAACAAACCCTGGAGCGGTTCGTTTGAGGTGAGAATATGATCCGTACTAAAACAGGTCCAACCGCAAAAAGTACTGCGCCTTTTGGACTAATCCAGCTGCCGTAGACTGTGCATTATGGGATATGGAGGAAAAACATTTGTTGACAGCGCTTTACCAACAGAGAGAGAGAGAGAGAGAGAGGGAAAACATTAGCTGACGGATCGTTGGTAATATTTCCGCAAGATGAGCATGTCGCAGTTTAGCTAAATTAATTCACACCTCCTCCTGAAGTAATGAGCGATGCATTAAAACATTTGTTTTTCAGCTGCAGCTGCGCTTCATTCTTGAAATGTATAGTTTGTCTAAAGCAGGCATACAATCAGTCAGCGCAGTCGTCCCTCCAGAGTAAACACGACATTTTGTGTCTGCCGGTTTTGTTTACCTGCGGGAGTTCATTTGCATTTTCCTGCATGTGAATTCTGACCAATCAATAAGCAGTTTAGGAAATATGTTCAGCAACATCTGGCAAATGAGAGATGTGGATTTTGTCAGATGACTGCATTTTGGTTCGTTTCAACTGGTTCGGACCAAATCCAGCAGTGTGGTGTGAAAACAACCCAAAGACGGCAGAACATGCAACAATGCATAATTCATTGCCCTTGGTCCGGACCAAATGAAGCGAACTACA